TGATTAAAATCCTCTTCCCATTTGTCTTTTTTCTTCCTTTTGTTTTTAGTGACACCGTCGTCTCCTTGTGAGGGTCTCGTGGCTCCGGATTTATCTGTAGAGATCCGCACTTTGCTCTCTTCCTACTACAAGGAAAGGTAGGCTTTCTGTCACAGAGCACTTCTCTTTCAGCATTCATACTTTAGCATCTGCATGAAGTTGGCAGTATGATTTACATGACATCCTCGTAATAAACCATGGGCTGTTTTACAGATGCCAAATATTTGAGGCGTTACCCTAAAAATAACTATTGCAGAGAAATAATTAGCAAAGCAATAGGTAATGCTAAAAAATTTGAGGGCAGATAAAGAAAAGGGGAGGTCATAAACTAAGAATGCAAAAGGGATGTGGAAATCAGTGGAAACCTTTCAAGAGAGCAGTCGGATTTGCTTGATTGAAAGGCCCTATTGTTTTTCTGTGAGTAAAGTAAACTCTAGTCCATTGGAGGCTGCGGCCAAACTCCCAGAGGGTTTTGCCAACAACAAACCAAATGGCAAATGATCACAAATGTGGAAGGTTTGGTTGTATCACGGAGCTATGCATACTGGCAGTATTGAAGATAATATACATATAAAACAATAGACTTTCCACGTGATGAACAGCACCTTTTAGCTGCATCCAATGCAGTTTTTATTTTAGAACCAAACATGCTAAACAACTAGCTGCTTCCTTGTAGAGAAGGTTAAATCATTGTTGAATAAAGGTGGTGTTGTTGGGGCTCTGTTTTTGATCTCAGGAAGGCTTTTGATACTGTAAACCATGCTGTCATTCTATCAAGTTTATCTACTTTTTTTTACCTTTAGATGCCAGCAGTCTTCTTGACTAAATAGCCAACAATCCACTTCTCTCACTCTTATTCACTGGCATCCCACAAGGATCCACATTGGGTCCACCTTCTATTTAGTCTATACATGAATGATATGATATAGATTAGAGGTTGCTGTTTACGACAAATGCTTTCAAAAACCCTTTCAGTTTTCACCACTGAAACACTCTGATCAAAAATCCAAATACATGTCTAATCTATAAAATTGTTAATTGCATGGCTACTCCCCCACTCACTTTGTTAGGCACTGACAATACAAACCAGTATAAATTACAAATCAATTCTGGACAGTTAAGTAATTGGCTTTCAAATGCCTGTCGATATACAATTTAGACGCAAATAATTTGCCCTGTCTGTTTCTGGCATGTCTGGTTTTGCATCTTTGCTCATATCTATGTCTGTTTTTGAGAAGCTATTCTGTAAATTGAACTGTTACTTGTTTATTATTTCAACCTTGTTTCTAGATTCTAGGCTGAGGACTTTTCACAAGGCCAGGGACGATATAGAAAAAAAACAGAAATTTAACTAAAAGCAGTACAACACAAATCGGGACACACGTCTGGTTCTGAGGACTAAAATGGAATTTCACTCTCCAGCACTCACAAAGAGTTAAACCGTGGGAGGGAAGAAGAACTTCCCTTAGAATACCATGGATATTTTCCATTGCATGTTTTCCTGTCAGTATTCCACAGGACAAAAGGTCTCATCAAAGATGTCAGCTTAAAAAGATAAAAGATCAGACAATTAGCTTTACCGGATTTCATAATTATTATGAATTAATTTTCCATCTCTTAATAAGTGGTTGTATTAACTTTTAATTACTCAGTTAAAGTGCAACACAATTACAAAGAGATTACTGTGGGTTGGTTTTCTACTCATGATGAGTCAAGCTTTGTTAAGAAGTTGTAATTATATATTTGGTTAGAATTTCTTGCTTGATCAGTTTATGGAAGGAGCAGCATAAGTCACACACTGTTCTTTCTTGTACCCTCTGAGGTTAACAGGGACAACTGAGCAGGTTACCTCAGAGCTAAGCAAGATAAATACTGCTCTGACTCAAAACACATAATGGTCCTGTTATACAATGTGAGCTATGTCATCAAGCATCAACTGATAATTTGACTTATTAGAATGGCAAACACACAAGGTTACAAGTTTAAGTTGGTACATAAAGCACCTGGGTGTTAAAATGCTACACATATTGTTCAGGAGAGTGGTTGTTTGTGTACAGAGCAAGGCCAGAGTTCGGTCAAAAGATGTCCTAGAGAACAGGTTGTGCTGGTGACTTGATTTATATTAAGAAACACGTGAGGAAGTTGTCCGAGTCCAGCTTTTACAATGGTGGCTTTGTGTAACCTTGTCTGTGTGTGTGTGTGCATGCGTCTTTCCATGTATTCTAGCAAGAGGTTGGACATTTACAAAATAAAACCTACCAAATCTTGAAATCAAATCTTGCTTACAAATTAATAGCCAATGTGAGGGTGTAAGATGTTCTCTTTTTTTTGAGTTTTAGTGTAGTCTAGCAGCTGCATTTTGTACTAGTGTGAGCCTTTTCAATGATCTCTGATTAACCATCTGTTAAATGATC